CCGAACACGAGCTTCTTAACGAGCTGAACACAAGCTGTTTCCGAACAATGAGCCGCTTTGACAGCCCTAGTGGTAACTTCCCTTACAAGAATGGTTTATCACGTCTCTTAAACAATTTAGGTCATTGCTATTAGTATGGAATGATGACGGGCACATTACCAAACAGTAGACCGCCAATGCCCACCTCTTCGCTACATCCCAACCAACTCATCGATCACTCCAAAGCCGCCTCGATCATTGCCAGAGCACTGCCACCTCCCATGAATATTGTTATCTGAGCGCCACCTTGCCACCATCAACCGCCTTGCAACCGTATTTCGGTCGCCCAAAAACCGCCATCACCTCTCCCTCTTTCCATCAGAGAGCATAGAAAAGAAAGGCACATTGCTGTCTAAGCACAACTTCGCCACCATTGACCTCCTTACACCTGCATCCCGATCACTCATCAACTGTCATGGGTGTCGCCTCACAATGTTGCCGCCTCTCCCTCTCTCTGCCTGGGAGCTGAAAAAATGAAAGAAAAATGAAAAAAAAAAGATGTAGAAAAAATTTGAAAGAAAAGAAAATGAAGAAAATGTTTTTTTTTTAAATAATAATAAGAAATTTATATTATACTATTTTTCTCACGTCGATGTCATTGTAGACACACATGTATAATGTCAATCAAGTTGTCATGCATGTGCTTGCATGAAAATTAAGTACACAAATGATTTGTACTTCAGAATTAGGGAAAATATGTGTGATTACATGATATAAGTAACCCATATGACCTATACTTCAGGAGGGAAGAAATGTATTGTAAATTTTCATGTTGTTGTTTGAAAACCCCTACAAGCCTTTCTTGAGGTGATGGATGAAAACATGACGGTAATCATGCTCCCTGAATCTAACACCGACTATACATGCTTTCTTTGCCATGTTGGGTGACACGTCTAAAAATGTGCTACTTTTTTATATGCATTTTACGCTTATATTTAACGATATTGTACTTTAAAGAAAGATATTTTGCGTGTTTTTAGTTCCAGGTATAAGAAATGAAGTTTTGGAGAAAATAGAGCAAAAATAATGCAATTTGGAGTCAAATCGAGTAAGGAAAAAAACTCTGATCTGACACATTTTGAATTGTCATTCTATTCGTAATCTTCTTTACATTTATCGTATATTTTTTAATGAAATTATACTTTAAAGAATTGTTATTTTTATGTTTATCTTGTAGGTTTAACACTTGGAGCGGATTTGAGTTGAAACTGGATGAAATGGAGCTGAAATGGGGGTGCTGCCAGTAGGGTTGCGCCTAGGCGCTAGAAAAATCCCAAAGTCGGTTTGGACAACTCCGGACTATTCTAGAAGGTTCTGGGCAACTATGCACGTACCATAAAATTATTAAATGAATCTAGACACTTAGAAAGGCTCTTGGAGTGAAGAGATGTGTCTTTTAGAGTAAAAATGTGTGTCTCTTGAAGTGAATAAGTGTGCCTCTTGAATTGAGGAGGTGTTTTGTTCTTCTTTAAAAAGTGGGGTTGACATCTCTTTCAGGGGAGATATAGAAGAGAGTTTGGCGTGCCACTTTAAAGAGGCGTGTGTGAGAGAGAGAGAGGGAGAGAGAGAGAGAGAGAGAGAGAGAGAGAGGATGTTGATTTCTATTTTTTTTTGGAGAAATTGATGAGAAATTTTGAGAGATGTGTGTAAGGAATTGTATGAAAATTGCATAGATTAGCGGGAGACTTTGTTAGAAGGATTTTCATCTTTCTTTCAGAGGAAAAAAACTAAGTAATGTGTTCTTCATTATTTTATAATTATTGTAAACACTTTCTAGTGGATTTACTTTGATTTAATGAAGTTTTCCGTTTTATTTTATTCATGCTTCGTGGGTACTTTTCTTTACTATTTTTTTTTATATGAAGCAATGGCAAGAGTAGTTCTTAAAAATTATTTTAAAATAGAATAATTTGTATTTCTATGTGATGAGTAATATCTCATTTGTTTCATTGACATAGCTTAAGTGGCAACATGTTATGTTAACATTTGCTGTAAGTGAAACTAAGAATCAGGAGAGCAGTGATCTTGCAACTTAAGTGCACTCACATTGCCCGATTTGCTATGGTGAAGTAGTTTAGGCGGCAATGCAACTTTTAAGTAAATATAATTCATGATATGTTTCTATTAGGAGCTTCTATGTGACAGCTAGTTGTGTAAAACTAATAAAATGTTAAGTGTATCTATACACTTGGAAGAGGGTAGATAGACATATGTGTCTTGTTGGCACATAGTTTATTACATAATTCTATAATTTTTTTTACTGCTTATACCATCATATTCATAAACACATGTATGACTACCAATGTAATTGCCCTTAATATCATTTTTATTATTTCCACCTCAATGGAAATTTTTTATCAATGCCATTGTCTTCATCATGACTATGTTTATGTACCGTTTATGTAACTCATAGAATTATCAATCTAAATCATGCTATGTAATTTTATTTTTTTTTTTAAATTTGAATATAAATTTCTTCGTCTTTAACCATTGAAATGCCATGTGAGAGTCTATTTGATCATAAATAAATATTGAGATAATATTTGATTTTAGTAAACTTACAATCAAATTTAACATCTAGATGAGACAAGTTGGGACATTCTCTGAGGAAAAAAATGATTTTTAACTTTTACATATAATAAAATTGAGCAACTTGATAAGATATCTCTAACAAGCTCGAGAGCGCTAAATTGTAAATTTTTTATAAGTGTCAAACATTCTAAAAACAACTTATGATCATTGGGATTTATTTGGACCGTATCATTGGGATTTATTTGGACCGTTTCATGAATTATTTCAAATTTTGGCAATATTTATAAAAATTTCACTCCTACAAATTATTTATAAAGCCCCCAAAAAGAAATATGAGAGGAACTAAATATTGATTAAAACTCAAATATTTAAAGAATTGCGGTGCTTTGCCTGGCCATTGCGGTCAAATGGATAAATATTGTCAAACTATCTTTGCATGATTGATTGCTATTGTTTGATTGTTGTTGCCCAACTATCACGCCAGAATGACACCCAACTAACTATTGTTGTTAAGTTGTTGCTGCCAATCTTCATTGTTGAACTACTTTAGATGGTGATCATTGGACTATCATCTAACCATTTTATTAGACTGTTGTCATCTGACCATCACTGACATACCTATATAGTCGAATAATTGCTTGAATATAGTCTCTCGACCTTCATCATTTGTCCATGAAGACTCATTTATTGCATTCAATTATGATTTTCTGACCACCATCACCCATATATAGTATTTTGACCACAGTGGCTTTATAAAGGTAACCAAACGATGATCATCGTACCGTGGTTGCATGGCCAACATAGATTGAATAGTCCCTGAACCCACATTTCTTGATTATGATCATATAACTACTCTTATTAATATACAATTTCTAAATCATCATTGTATAACTATGATCTCCCAACCATCATTGTTCAATTACGATCCCTAACTACCGCGTTACCGCCCAACATTTTTGATCTTTCAACCATCATCAACTATCTTGATAATCTAAAAAAAAAATCTATCAACCACAACTACTCAGCTATACTTGCCCAATCGTCACCACTCAATCGCTATCGCTCAATCACCATCGTCTGATTAGGACTTCTCAACAACCGTCGCTAGAGCTCAGTCTCCCAGTCACTGTCATCCCGATTATTTCCTTCCGACGCCACCACCAAACAACTATGGTCTTTTGAATATGGTTACCCAACCAATGTTGTCCATCTATAATCTTCCAACCACTCTCACTCATTTATCATTGCAAGACTATTTTTGCCCAATTATAGATTATTAACTACCATCGTCCGAACATGGTCTCTCAACCAATTTTGCTTAACTAAGGTCACTGATTGGATCACCCTATTTTTTCCTAGTTATGACCTTCTAGCCAACATCACATAATTATGGTCTCTCAACAGCTTTGCCTAGCTGCAATATTCTAAGCATTAATGCATAATTTTAATATCCTAACCGTTGTCACTTGTCTATGATCTTACAAACACCATCATCTGACTATAACCTTTTGAACATCATCATTCGATTACATGTAAATAAACTTCCCTTACATCCATCACTTATAGGACGCGTGCAAGCTACTATATATCATTGCCTATAAAGCTAATGTATACCATCAACATATGTCATTACTTTTCAAGTTGATGCAAGTCATCAATTTTCAACTAACTTCATTGGTTTTCCTTAGTAAGAATGTTGACATGTACTTTAAATAAATAAAAAATGCATAATGTTGACACCAATTCCAACCTTCAACACAAAAAAAAAACAATTATAATTGATCTTGTGATTGTGATCTTCTCTCCTAAAAAAATGGTCAATTATAATGCAAAGACAACCCTAATACATAAAGATTCTTTCAAACTCTGTTAAACAATTCATCTACTATAATTTATGTCTGTTACTTTGTATTAACACATTCCACAGTTACGAGGAATTGCATCCTTATTAATCAATAAGTGTTAGGAGTTATGATAGGAAATAATTTATTCTTATAAATAAATTATTTCCTTAGAATTAGAGTTATGATAGGAAATAATTTATTCTTATAAATAAATTATTTCCTTAGAATTAGAGTTATGATAGGAAATAATTTATTCTTGTAAATAAATTATTTCCTTAAAATTAATGAGATATTTATTTACCTATTTTACGTTATTTCCTATATCTCCTAATAATTAATGCGAATTAATTATTAGAGATATTAAGTGTTATACCCTTCCTTTCATATCATTTACCTTTTATTATTTTTCCTTTTACAAGATTATTGTAAGGGTTATTTATAACCTTATTCATATTAATGAAAAAGTGTGTATTCCACCACATTATTCTGAGTTTTAACATGGTATCAAAGCAAACACGATTCTGAGTCTTACCATCTCCTCTTCCACGCAAAAACCCCATCTATCTTCTTTCTAAGCCAAAACACATGGCAGACGAAACTCAAAATTCAGCAAAACCTGAATCTAGCAAATTCAATAATCCGAACGACCCCTTTTTTCTCCACTACTCAGATCAACCTGGTCTCGTGCTTGTTACGCAACCGCTGAATGGAGAAAACTACAATTCTTGGAGTCGTGCCATGTTGATGGCTCTCAACATCAAAAACAAAGAAGGTTTTGTCAACGGCACCGTCCAAGAACCACCAGAGACGTCCACCGCAGAACTTCAACAATGGAGGCGCTGCAACAACCTTGTCAAGGCATGGTTGTTTAATTCAATTGCAGAAGACATTGGAGCAAGTATAATATATAACGAGAGTGCCCATGAAATCTGGCTCGACTTGAAGGAACGTTTTTCTCGTACCAACAACGTTCATATTTTCCATGTCGAAGAAGCCATCCACGATTGCAAGCAAGGCGATATGACAGTTGGAGCTTATTACACCAAGCTCAAAGGCCTATGGGATGAACGTGACGCCCTCCATAACATTCCTAAATGCACGTGTGGTGTCATGAAGGAAGTGATGCAGTTTCAGCAAAACCAGAAAACCATGAAATTTCTCATGGGGCTTAATGAAATATACACTAGTATAAGAGGACAAATTTTGCTCATGGATCCCCTTTCCAATGTCAGCAAAGCACATTCTCTCGCGCTCCAAGAAGAAAAGAAACGCGGCATGAACAATGTAAATTTGCCGCAGCCGGAAGCTTCAGCTTTTGCCGTAAAGAATAATGCACGAAAACCAGAGAAGGTTTTCACGCCCAAAAATCCTCATTTAAAATGTGGAAAATGTCACAAAATTGGGCATACCTCAGACACATGTCGGGCACATCTCAAATGCGATTACTGTGGATGGCAGGGACACACCATCAATGATTGTAGGAAATTGCAAAGGACCAATCCAACGGGCAATAAACCTGAACGGAAAAATTTTGCTCCCAAAGCCAACCATGCGGATACCAATACATCGACCAGTCCTACACCATTCACCTTTACAGTTGAATAATATCAAAGCCTCATATCACTACTTGCAGAGAACAAATCTAATTCGATGGCTAATCATGTTGGCAGTACATCAGTCATGAGTGATATCTCAGGTAAAATCTTTTGTGCCTCTGTTTTTTATAAAGAAATAGGCTGGATTCTTGACATAGGAGCCACAGATCACATGGTATATTCAACCAACCTACTTACTATAAAATCCAGTGTCATCAATCGAAAAGTTCACTTGCCTAACGGAGCTACTGCAACTGTCACACACATAGGCAACATCCATTTTGCTGACTTTGTTCTACAAAATGTTTTATGTGTCCCCTCCTTCAAATTAAATCTGATTT